AAATATGCTGGTTTATCTGGAGGATGTACTTTCCCAGAATTTTTATCCTGTCCAAATACTCTGGTGCCCTTCCCCCACCCCCCCCCCCCCCCATTCTTTTTTCACCCCAAGGAGAAAAAGAGCTCTCCCAGTCTGACCCTGGGAGTTGCGGGTTCTTAGAGCAATGCGAAAGGCACCGTGAACCCTTTCCAGGGGTGGGATTCCAAAAATTTCAGCCACGGGTTCTCTGCCCGGTTGCTGGGTGGGTGTGGCCTACTCGGCCTCCTGCACCACGGCAGGAGGGGGGATTTTCACCCTCCCCAGGCTTTGGAGGCCTTCCTTGAGCCTCTGGGAGGGTGAAAACAGCCTCCCCCGGGCTCCAGAGTCCCTCCGGAGGCCGGAATTAGGCCTGTTTCTGGACTTATGGAACTTCCGGGAGGACCATTTTTCACCCTCCCACAGCCCTTCACTTACCTGGCATCCAAAACAGGCTGCGCTGAGACTCTTGGGGAGGGGAGGGGAGTGGGCAGGGCCAGCCAGTCCTTGTAACTACCGGTTCGGCAAACCAGATGTAAAATTAGCATCCAGTTTACCTGAATCGTTCCGAACCGGCTGAATCCTTCCCCACTCCTGGCCCTTTGCCAGGTTTCCTTCCCCAGACCCCTTGAAGTCCTGCCCAGCCAACAGGGCAAGCAGGAAAGGGGAAGAGAAAGGGAGATTTCTCAGCCCCCCAGCCCTCCGTTTCCACCCTCATCCCTGAAAGTGATGGCAGGAACTCACGTTTTGTGCAGAGGACTTTGGGGTTCTCCCACAGGCCGTTGACGTGACATTTGATGGTGGGCAAATGTCTTTGGAGGAAGCCTTCTGCGCACTGGTATCGGACGGTCGAGTGAACACTGTACCTCTCCTTCTTCTTTCCGATGGGGGAAGCGTTTTCCACCAGAGGAGGCGGCCCACACAGCACTACAAAGACCATACAAGTTGTAGGAGGGAAAGCGTTAGAAACCCCCCTTTGCAACAGCTGGGGATTGATTTCGTTAGGCATTTCCAAAAGGTGACCTTCAATTTTACAGTTTTTAGACTGACGGTTTCCAGCCCAGGGCCATTTATTTTCTTCCTTGGACATTTTCACCCTATCTACTAGGAATCGCAACTTAAATCACCTCGGCATTCATGAGTGTCATAAGGCAGCAATTCTGCAAAGGTCTACTTAACCCGTGAGCGAGCGCTTTGGTGCGCCGAGTGAGCTACTGCCACTTATAACTTCAATAAGCAGATAGTCACGCATCACGCTTGCTCGTTACCTCCCTGATAGACCTTTGCTTGCTCCGGTAACATCATCACTTTCCCGAAGTCCACGGTCGTAATAATAATTCCTTTTTAGTGACTCGCAAGGTCTGATTGTTCACCTCTCAACTGGCTCTGTGCCGATTGTGTTCTTGAAATGCGCAGAAGGAAAAAGTTCTACAGCCACGAGTAAACATTATTCGATTTTACTCTCATCATGTATTTTGGAAGTCTTTTCAAACTGATGCATGACCCGCCCCTTTGAGGCTAATGACAGCACTATGTCCTCCCCCCCCCACCAAAGAAACCTCTGGACCAGGGGTGAAATCCAGCAGGTTCTGAGAGGTTCTGGAGAACCGGTAGCAGAAATTTTGAGTACCTTGGAGAACCGGGAAATACAACCTCTGGCGTGCCCCAGAGTAGGGTGGGAATGGAGATTTTGCAGTATCCTTCCCCTACCACGCCTACCAAGCCACGCCCACAGAACTGGTAGTAAAAAAAATGAATTTTACCACTGCTCTGGACCAGGATGGGTTCCTGCTGGTTCTAACCTCTTCTGACAAGTAAATGTCAATGGGGAAGCCAGATTCACTTAACAACCATGTTACTTACCTAAAAACTGCACTGATTCACTTAACAACTGTGGCAAAATAGGTCTTAAATTGGGGAAAAAAATACTTAACAAATGTTTCACTTAGCAATATAAATTTTGGGCTTAATTGAGGACTTCCTGTAGCCTTTGTTGAGTGCATCATAATTTTGAATGGTTGTTAAGCTTGTTAAATGAGGACGACCTGCTAGCACTGATAATATTACCTACTTGGGTAATGAAATGTCTGCAAGAAAACAGCCAAGTTCAGAGAGCACCAAGGACCTCACATGTTCATGCTGTTGCCCAAAACAAATGACATCGAAGTGTCCCTTTTAAGACTACAGAGATGCTGGATTTGATGTTATTTTCACTATTTCCCTCCTGCATTTAATCAGATTCTCGGTGGATGTTTCTGTGTTCAGTGACATGGATTCAAATCTGAGATTGCTCTGCTTTACAAAGCACAATCAGGGAACAAGTTGAGTCTCTGCCTCAGAAGGTTTACAATCTGTGTTTTATCACTGTAAGGAGATGCAAGGAGAAGGAACCGCATCCTTTACAAATGTAAAGGAAGAAACCATCTGAATTCTGAAGACACACTCAAGGGACTTTCTATCTTTCTGCTTAAGCAATTTATTCAATGGTGGTTTTCAGCCGGTTCGGACCACTTCAGGAGAACCGGTAGTGGCAACCTGCGTGTGGGCTTGTCCACCCTCCCCAGCTCTATGCCGTTCTATTTAGCCACGTTTTCTAAGCTGTGCGCATGCATGCCAGCCTCACATGTCAGTAAAGGGCATGCGCGGAAGGCGCATGTGTCACGAAGCAGTTTCGGTGCATGGAGAACCAGTGGTAAAATTAGGTCAAACCCACCTCTGAATTTACTTACAGTATTTTTCAGAGTGCAAGAGGCAACTTTTTCTCCCAAAAAAGAGGGTGAAAATCTGGGTGCGTCTTATACACTGAATGCAGAATTTTTGGCCTTCCAAATCCCGCCCCCTTCACAAAAAATGTGGCATGCAGAGGGTTTGGGAGGTTGGCAGAGTGCAAAAAGTTTTTTTTTTAAATTTACCTCTTCAAAATCTTGGTGCGTCTTATATTCCGGTGCATCTTATACTCCGAAAAATACGGTATATCTTCGGATGTTCTAGGACCTTTTATAAATCTAACCGATGCCAAAGGGCCTATCTGGCGATGAAGTTATACTCCATGTTCTTGGGATACGTGGGAAAGTGGGATTTCTATACTTAATTAATAACTTTTATCAGAGCTAATATATCATTAGTGCTGGAAATGGGAGACCCATTTCTCAAGTCTATCACAAACAGCTGGAGGTTAATGTGACTTTTCCAACAAGCAACTTGGAGGATCTTAATAGTTTTAATGGGAGAATTTCAAAGGCAAATTAACATAAGTGGGAGAAAAACGGCCCCAAAGGGGCTCATTTCGTTCCTGCCTCCACCAGCTGGAAAACAGAGAAATTAGGCCCCCTGAGTAAGAACTCCAGTGGTTTTTGGAAATAATCTCTGATGTGGGGAAAGCCGCAGCTTTAGTTGTCCCCCTCCCCATCTCCCTTCTCTTTAAAGAAACTGTATGGATTAAGAAACTGTAAGTATGGATTAAGTGCGGTATTAAAAAAATCTCATTTCAGATAATCCTTGGGGCTTTGGTTTATATTTCTTTCCTCCGAGAGCAGGGGTGAATGACAATGGCCCTTTTACGACCTGTGGACTTCAATTCCCAGAATTCTTGAGCCAGCCAGGAATTGTGGGCTCCACAGGTCCACAGGTCATAAAGGGGCCATAGTTGCCTCCCCTCTTTCCAACAATCTGAAAAATGGCCTCTTGAAAACACACACACACACACACACACACACACACACACACACACACACACACACACACACACTTTTCCACAAGCACAGGTTGAATAGAAATTAGAAGGCAGGACAGGCAAGCGCCAGAGATTGACAATGTTCGCTTCTAATACAGGATAGTCCTCAATTTACAACCGGTCGAATTCGGACCCGACTTTCGACCTGTGAGTTTGAAATTACAATGGACCTCCCTGGAGGATACTTACGATCTGGATTCAAAGTTATGACAGTTCCACCACTCCAGTGGTGAGTTCAGGATCCCGTTGCAACCTGTACGGTGCAATGGGGCCAGGCTTCCACCACATGAACGTGCGCAGTGCGCGCATGTGTACTTACCGCCCACGATGCTCCGCAACGCTCCAGCTGCTCGGCGGAGCGTTGCGCAGGTGCCGTACCCTCTGTGCGCGGGAGCCCTGAAAACCTCAAATACCGGTAAGAAGCATGGGTGGGCGAGTGGGCCCACTGGAGCACTGTACCAGAACGGTACCTGGTGCTTCCGGCAGGCACCGGTACACCCATACCAGGGTGTACTGGTCGGAGCCCACCATTGCCCCCTCCCTCCCCAATGTGGTCACTTCGGTCAGTCAGAAACTAGCCTGAATTTATGGACATTGGCAGAATCCCACAATCATGTGACTGTGTTTCATGATGGTTTGGCTGAAAACCAGCATCGGCTTTCAGTTTTTTGCAAAGACGCACCATCGGTTCGCTTAATGACTGCAGCATTCACTTAATAACCATGGATTTGTTTAACAATTGCTGTATAAAAACATGTTTAATCATGTTGGTCACGGCGAGACCTGATTTACGACCGTCATGAGTTATGAGTGTGATGGGCAGGCTCTATTCTGGTTATATTTGGATCCAGGCTTCTTTTCGCCTAATAGCTGATTGGAACATAGGATCGGGTCAAACAGCATGGGAGTGAAATTGAAGAAAAATAGGTGACAATATGTGAAACTTAGCCCAGGAAAACAGGAAGTTGTGAAAAAGAAACTCAAGATTGCTCCACCTTGAGTCGTTTCGATACAGGTAGTCCTGAATGAGCGACTGTACATTTCTGATTAAGATTATAAGTTGTGACAGTCGTAAACTAGGTCACCACATGACAGGACCTGTTTTTAACGACCTTTTTAGTGGCAGTTGTTAAACGAACGCTACAATTAAGTGAACCCGTTGTTCACTGTGGGCTAAGTACCGAGGTGGCGCAGTGGTTAGAGTGCAATACTGCAAGCTACTTCTGCTGACCGCTGGCTGACTGCAATGTGGCAGTTCGAATCTCACCAGGCTCAGGGTTGACTCAGCCTTCCATCCTTCTGAGGTGGGTAAAATGAGGACCCAGATTGTTGGGGGAAATAGGCGGACTCTGTAAACCGCTTAGAGAGGGCTGTAAAGCATTGGGAAGCGGTATATAAGTCTAAGCGCTATTGGTGCTTTTGCTGGAAACTAGAAGTAAATTTTGGGGCAAAAACATTGTAAATTGCAGTCATATGACTGTGGGATACTAGAAGCAGTAAATGTGGGTTGGTCACTGAATACCCAAAATGTGGTCATGTGACCCCCCCCAGGAGGACGAAGGCAGCTAATAGAACCAGGTCACAAGAACCTTTTGGGTGGTCCATCATAACTTCGAACGGTCCTTAAGTGACCGGTCATAAATCGAGGACTACCTGTTTAAGGAGGGAAAAAGAAATGAAGGGCTCAAACCTGAGCCCGTGAGCAATAGCCAATGAGGATTCTCCGAACTGGCCTGGAGGAAAGCATTTTTAAACAGCTGCAAGCGATGCATATATTTACCTGTATCTTTTTTGCAGACGTAGGGAAGTTTGTAGTTACACGGGACATCGTTCCATTTGCCAGTCTCGTGGGACACCAGCACCACGCAATCCTCGCCGCCGGCAAAGAAATTATCTGGCTGGTTTTCACGCCAATTCTCGTATTGCTAGCAAACAACAAAGAAATTTAAAAAAAAATTCCCAAGATTGCTTCTTCCTTTTAATTTTTTTTTTTTCTGGATCAGGGACGTCCAATCTTGGCCACTTTTAAGACTTGTGGACTTCAACTCCCAGAATTCCCTAGCCAACCATGGGAATGAATGGCTGGCTGGGGGATTCTGGGAGTTGAAGTCCACAAGTCTTAAAGTGACCAAGATTGGGTGTCCCTGATCTACATCATGAATGCACAAAAGGGGTGGAGCTTGCATAGCATTGGCACAGTGCTGCTTTTATAATTTGGTGCTTGGGTTGTGCATCTCTGGGACACCACTATTCTTGTGGGAAAATGCCTTGTGTCATCTCCACCACTTAGTGGTTTCTCCAGAGTTTCAGCAAAAAAAGTCAAGGTGGCAACCCGAAGAATAGGATCAAAGCTTTGTCTGTTTTTTTAATGTGCGTTGCACATAAAACATGCGGCTCATATAAAAACAGGCAGATCATACTGTTGTGTCCGCCACCTGGACTGTTTCCCTGCACCTGGCTTCATTGCAGTTCCCATCTTTTATTTGCATTGATTTTATTGCAGTATCTTTGATTGTTGCGAGCCACCCAGAGTGGTTGACAGTGGGAAATCAATGTTTGCCATGCATTCCAGCGTTCTGTCCATTGATTACAGCTTGCTATTGATTCAGGTAGAGGAGAGCTTTTTCAGGGCCCTTTTTATGCATCGGCTCAGTGGCTAAGACGCTGATTTTGTTGTTCAGAAAGGTCGGCCGTTTGGCAGTTCGAATCCCTAGTACCGCGTAATGGAGTGAGCTCCCGTTACTTGTCCCAGCTTCTGCCAACGTAGCAGTTCGAAAGCAGGTAAAAATGCAAGTAAAAAAATAGGGACCACCTTTGGTGGGAAGGTAACAGCGTTCTGTGCGCTTCCCGCATTTAGTCATGCCAGCCACATGACCACAGAGACGTCTTCGGACAGCGCTGGCTCTTCGGCTTTGAAACGGAAATGAGCACTGCTCCCCCTAGAGTCAGGAACGGCTAGCACCTATGTGCAAGGGGAACCTTTACCTTTAAAACTCAAATCTAGGAACAACTGTCTGAAAGAGAGACATCTAGCTTGGTGTGACATCTGTTGCCTGCTTCAACAGATGTCAGGCGCACACATTATATTGACTTATTGATTTATAAAATTTATATGGCCGCCCACTCACTTTCAGTGACCCCAGGCAGCTTACAAACAATAAAAAACACAATATGCAAAGAGTAAAAACAATATCCCTCCCACACAGACTCCTTTGAAATAGGGTTCCGAGGAGCTCTTCGGGATAAGATTGGATATTGCTAGTTTATTTCATGCTACCCATGTACAGGAATTTGAACGACTAACAGTCAAGGTGAATTGGCACCAGATAAGAGTCATTGCAGAATAACAAAGTTGGAAGGGGCCTTGGAGGTCTTCTAGTCTAACCCCCTGCTCAAGCAGGAGATCCCATGGCAGTGATGGTTAACCTTTTTGTCATTGCATGCCGAAAGGGCATGCACATGTGTGCAACAGCGCATCTACATGCCCACACCCATAATGCAATGTGCATGCACTCTGCACCTCCCCACATGCACACGTGACCGGGCGCATGCGCCCGCCCCCTCACCCATTTTTCGCTTCCTGATTGGTGCAAGAGGACTTCCAGGTCCAAAACAGGGCAGGGGGAGGGGAGGGGGCCCTCACGCAGCACCCCGGTGCCTTGTTTTGGGCCTGGAAGGCCTCCTGCACCAACCAGGAAGCCTAAGCTGCGCAGGCCCCCAAAATGCAATGCGAGCACCCCCCGCGCATGCACGGCAGAGATCCGAAGACCAGCTGGCTGGCGGGAGGCGCAGGTGCATGCATGGTGGAGCTCGTGGGGGGGGGGCAGCTGCTGTAGCCGCAGAGAAGGCTCTGCATGTCACCTGTGGCACACGTGCCATAGGCTCGCCATAACTGTCTTATGGCATTCCAGGCAAGTGACAATCAAGTATCTTCTTAAAGACTTCCAGTGTTGGGACATTCACAACTTCTGGAGTCAATTTGTTCTATGGATTAATTGTTCTGTCAGGAATTTTCTCCTTAGTTCTCAGTTGCTTCTCTCCTTGATTAGTTTCCACCCATTGCTTCTTGTCCTGCTTTGGAGAATAGGTCTAAACTCTCTTCTTTGTGGCTGCCCCAGCGGTGGGTTCCTGCCAGTTCTAACCTCTTCTATAGAAGAGGTT